GAAGTCCACATATCTTAAAGTTGCTAAGGTTGAGAAACACTGGTCTAAACCAACAATGACTTATTAAAGCCACAGTCTTGTTAGCCTGTTTGAGGATTTGGACCCGATTATAATAGTATTTCATAAAAAAAACAAAGTAAGCATAGATATTGGTGAGTTTTTCATAATCAGTCTGCGCACCATCTGGATGGAGCTCTCAGACCATCAATGGTTCCCACAGACCACAAGTTTGAGAACTTCTGAACCTCTGATTTGGTTTAGCTTATGTTTTTAACCCTTTGGAGAGAAAAGAAACTGAACTTCTTTCTTGTGATTTCTAAAGTTCTGCTTCAGAAATGTTGGTGTAACAGCACATACATTAAAAAAAATGGGGAGACCTCTCATCTAGACACTCTCCCAGATGAACTACAGTTCTTGCCCACTTCTCTCTTCTTCAAGTCCAGATTAGAAACAGCTAACAGACGTCTTCCATAAGAAATGCACAGAAACCACAATCAGCCATTTTAAAGCCATTTATCAAATATTCTCCACCTCTTGCCCCCCCCCAACCCCCATCAACAAGTGTTTTGGTCCAGTGAGTCAGTCTCCAAAAATGGATCTCTTGTGAATTGTGTCTGAAACAAAACAAAAAAAAAAAGGAGGGGGGGAATAAACCTGGCATTTATTGCTATGTACGCTGCTGAAATGAAGGAGAACAGGGAAAGCAAAATGGTTTTCTTTTTCACCTTTAAAGAGCAAATGATCCAGGCTGAAAATGAACGATTGCCACATTTTCGGCTTAGATTTGATATGAACAGTCCTCAACAACATCAACCACTTAAGTGAAACCAGAGCTTAAGAGAGGTAATGAGACCCATAATTGTCAAGTTGGAAGTAAGCAGTGGCTCTAACGAGAGGGCTTCACAACCATCTTTTTTGGGGATGGGCCCGGGGTGCCATTTTAATTTCTTTTATGTGGTCCTTTAATAAATCTTAGTTGCTAGTCAGGAAACTAAGAAACGCCCCCATGGACCTGCCAAAGATCACATTATTTTGGTTTCAGCATAATATGGATTTCTGTACATCTGCATTTTTGGAATTTATTTTTCCCTCTTCGGTTTCTAGACCTCACTGTTATAGAAAGAGGCTGGGGAATTCTAGGAGTTGAAAGTCCCCTGTCTTAAAGTTGCCAAGTTTGAAAAACATTGGTCTAAAGCATCATATAAATCCAAAATGTATGCTTAGTTTAAAAAGAGAAGGTGGAGGGGAGACATGATAGCAGTCTTCCAGTATATGAAGCAATGCAACGTCTATGAAGAAAATATGAAGAGAGTGTGGATTTATTCTCCAAAGTGCCCAAGAAGAGGGCTAGAACCAACAGGGTGGAAGCTTGATAGACAGATCTCCAATTCAAAATAAGGAGTCCTTTTCTGACTGTGAAAACCCTTAAACATTGGGGTAGCTTGCCTCCTGGAGTCATTGGGGGCTCCATCCCTGGAGGGTTTCAAACAGGACACCATTTCTCTGGGATGGTCTAAGGATCCCTGCCCTGGGCAGGGGGTTGGACTAGAAGGCCTCCAAAGTCCCTTTTAATCCTAGGATTTATGACGCTGAATCCCCCACCTGCTCCTTTGAGTGAAATAAATGATGATCAAAATTGTTTTTAAAATGGTGTTCCATTTCTAAAGTCATTTTCCTGGCATGGGGAAGGCTGCTATTTGAGATAGCAAACTCTAAAGCCCCTGGAGCACATAAAAAGATTCTCTGGCCATTGAGAAAAATAAGTTACATAAACCCTTGTGTGAGCTTAAAGTATTTACACACATAGCAGGGAGATTTTTCCGAGGCCTCCTTAGAAAATGCCCACAAATGCTATATAAATGCTAAGAACTGACAACATTGTCAGTTTCAACTAAACAGACTGTAAATAAAACACTACTTGCCACAAAGAAGTGTAGAGTGTTTAAATGGTTTGTACATCATGTTTAAAACCTAACTCTTTATCCCTCGTCTAGACAAGGTATGTAGGAGAACCGTCCCAGACTTGGTCCAGATTAACACACACATATTCACATTTCCACAGTGGCTAAAAGAGGCTTTAAAAAAGGCAATTCATAAAGAAAATAGCCTTCACTTTTTGAACTAGTGGTGCTCCACGTGGGATCTCACCGTGCATAGGCTTAGCATCCCTGCCCTAATAATAAACATCAATTTGAAGAACAAACAAGAACAGTCAATAATCAATACAGCTCTCAGTTTCAAAGTTTTTGTGGCTAGAAACTCCAGCTCGGGTTGCCTCCTACAAGCAAGGAAAAGTTTGGATGAACTGCTTGTATAAACTTGTTAATAAAGATGGAGACAGTAAGCCGGTGAGGTAGCGTTACAAATTAAAACCTTTCCAATACTCTTGACGCTGGGAAGAGGCTGTTTTCCATGAACTTCTCCTTTTCAGAAGTTTTTAAATGGCTCTCTTCTTTTTATTTATCTGTATGATTGGGCAAACGGTGGGCATGCTATTATGATTATACCGGTTGAGGATGATGCATTCACTGCATCTGGAAGCAAAACCCAGAGAATAGGAGACGTGTGTTTATTTGCATCAGAGCACAAAATGTACCGAGGATTAAGTTTTGGGATGTTGTAATGGACTGAAGATTGAGGAAGACAGAGCTGGGGACAGCTCAACACTCAAATCACTTTTCAAATTAAAGCACACAGATGCTTTAGTATTGCACAACCTCGAAGAAGAAAAAAAGCCCTCTCAAATTCACCACAAGTGAAATAAATTACACATCTCCATTTTAGGATAAATCACAGTTCCACCCTTTCCCAGTAGCTTGGTCACAGTTGCCAGAAACACAACATTTGCTATTTATTTATTAGATTTATATCACACTTTTCCTTCAGGAGCTGAAAGCACCCTACATAGCACTGCCTCCTCCTATTTTTCCCCACAACTACCCTGTAAGGTAGGGTGGGTTGATGGGTCCAAAGTCACCCCATGAGCTCAATGGCTGAGGAGGGCCTTAGAACCTGGGTCTCCCTGCTCCTAGTCGGACACCTTCACCTCCACCCCACACTGACTCTAGGACTGAGAGGAAGGACTGGCCCAAGGACACCCTGGGAGCTTCAATGGCTGGGAGGAGGATCAGAATCTGGATCTTCCAACACCTGCACCATCACACCACACTGGCTCCCTGAGAGGCATCTGGCTGGCAATTGTGGCAAGCAGGATATTGAACTTGACCAGCTTCACTAGATCAGCTTGACCAACTTCACTAGAAAAGGTAGACCAGCTGTGGATCCTGCAAGCAGGCTAGGCTCTGGGCAAGCTTTGTGGGATGTGGACTCCAACTTGCATGAGAAAGCATGGTAAACCTCCTTCCTTCCTTCCTTCCTGCCTGCCTGCCAAGCCGTTATGTACAATATATGTACTATGTACAATAACCCTGGGGGGCTCACAAAAACACTTACTTACTCTTCCCTTGTCCCACTTATTGTTTTTTGTTCTCTTTTGAGTTCTTGCATAAGAAGCACAAAGTGTTAATGGCAGACAAGGTGGACTGAAGTTGCAGAGAAATAGCCAGAAAGCTTTAGGCTGGCCCTAAATATTATCTTCTCAAGAGACAGGATGGCCTTTTCTGCATGGTGCAAAAAGACACAAAACAGAAACATATCTCATTCTGCATCCAAGTCAGCTCTAACGCCTCCTTAGCCTGCTATTTGGGGTTGCCAATGGGCAATTTTTAAATCAAGGATGTCTTCAATGGAGGAAACCAGCCTATCAAGGGCTGAATGTGCTTGGAGGTTAGTGTTCCAGCCCAACAGGGAGGAGGAGACAATCTCCTCCTCAAGGAGGAGACAATCAAACTGTAGAGGCAAACTGAACTGTCCAGGTGTCACTGCAAAGAAGAAACACGATTGTGTTTGCCTTGTCTTAATGTTGCTTTTCTTTAAAAAAGAAATTAGAATTCTAATGATGTCTGTTAGTTTAGCAAGCAAGATTAAAGGTAGTCCGATGGCCTCCAGATGCATTGGAACTGCACCTTCTAGAATTTGTAGATAGCATCAACATGCTGGCTATGAATTCTGGGAATGGCTTGGATGGGGGGGTCCTCGCCTAACGACTGGTGGGATTCGATCATTAGGTGAGGACTCCTAGAATACTGGCAGATGCAATCTTAGGCCACCTAAAAGAAGCCAGGGTTGGGAAACTGGGTTTGAAGATACCTTGCTGAGATTGAGTCAGCTTAGGCCTGGTTGGGGGGCATCAAATCAGCAAATCTTTTGTATCCTTTATATCTTGTATATTATTTTGGATAAGATAAAAGTGAGATGCAAATTGTTTAAATGCATACAACAAAATACATTCTCTCTTGCTTCTCATCGTAAGCCAGATGCTATCTCACAGCCTTACCTACTTCTACAAGGTTGTGGTGGAGAATGAAATGATAGGGAGAAGTGAAGAAAGCTTTATCTACTCTCTCTGAGCTCTTTGAAGGAAGCGGGAGATAGAAATATCTAAAGTTAACTAAAAGTACTATTATAAATAGTATTGATTGCAAATTTTACTCTAGTACCTCAAAAATGTGACCTTAAGAAAAGGAGAATTTGACATCCTACCACAAGTTCAAAGCTACTGCTAACTCCCATCTATTTACCAAGGGCTCCAGGAAGTTTATCTTCTATAGGCATCTCCCTTAATTCTACCCCACAATGATAATCTGGTGAAAGAGAGTCACTCACTGAGCTCCATGGTTGGACGGGGGCTTGAATCTTAAGACTCTACAGTACTGACTGTCAAAAACAACAAATGCACCTTAGCATCAACATTTAAATCAAAGCTCACCCTCTTCTATATAAAGGGTATCTTGTAAACTCTTAAAAATATATCTTACTTAGAAAAAAAAAATAATTGCATGACAAATATGCACTGAACAAGGAGATCATCAAAGCATTAAGTAGCAAAAAAGGAAAAGATTGGCAGGGCAGGCTTATGCCCCAACGTTTCCAGTTACCCTTTAGTTCAGTTTGGCTCAAGTCAACTGATTCATTTGCTTCATAAGAGGATAACAGAGACAGTGACTCAGATCTATGAAGAACTTGTTGCTGGCGCACGCGTGTGTGTGTGTGTGTGCGCGTGTGCACTCCCGGCTCAGGGTTAGGAGGGACCAAGTGGGGAATGGATCGGGGTGGGTCCTCACCTAACGACCGGTGGGATTCAGTTAATAATGGCATTGGGGACTGCCGGGATTGTCATCGGTAAGCAATGTGGTCACATGACACCGCGCTTTACGACTGCATCACTTAGTGACGGAAATTCCAGTCCCAATTACCATCATAACTTGAGGACTACCTGTAGTAAAATAATCTGGCATACATTCATAGGAGAATTCCCAGGTACTCTTTTTTCCCAGATCAGTAGTTGCATCCGTAATGCATCTACTAACGCAGAGATAGGGAGCTCTATGCTTAAACCTAAGCTTAACCAATGGCTTAATATGTTGTTGACTTGCAAATTGTTAAACAAAAACTTTATACACAACAAGCATTTATCATTTATATTGTGCTGTAATACTTCTCTTAGTAATACAACTGTAATTATTTTCCTTAAAAAAACAACCTTAACTGAAATTATCTGTTTGCTACATAAACCCCATGGCTTGCTTGACTTCTGTATCAGACTCAACGGAGCATGCTTCCTATTCAAAGGTTTCTTTACCTTCTCTTGCGAACCTTTATACTTGGAAAAGTTTGGAGACCGCATAAAGGGAGAGATACCAGAACAGCATTTACTGAGACTGAGGAAAGGCTGGACAGTTTGAAGGGGGAAGACACTGCCAACCTAAGTATCCATACCCCAATTTGCAAGCCCAAAATAGTAGGTTCCCTGTCTCCTCTGGTTTTAAGGAGAAGCCAGGGCAAAGTTTGTTCTCTGCTTCAGAAGCTGGAGATTCCATAAAAGTTAGCAAGACACGAGTAGGCTGGATAGGAAAATGATTTAACTTGGTATAAAACAGCTTTTGATGTTTTCACTTGCCTCAAAGGGCTGGCCTGGGACCACCCAAAAAGGATGAAAAATCATCTGCTTCTCTTGTTTCAGTTTTAGGGGACCTCACTGGGTGTGCCTTGAATAAACTGTTTCTCCCCGCTATAAATGCTGGATGTGATCACTGATGGGACTCTGGGAACATCCACTTCATTTATTCTAGCCCAGTGTTTCTCAACCTTGGCCATTTTAAGAGTTGTGGACTTCAACTCCACATGCTGGCTGGGGAATTCTGGGAGTTGAAGTCCACACCTCTTAAAATGGCTAAGATTGAGAAACAATATTCCAGCCAATGTCCAGTAGTAATCAGTACGTAACCATGGAATATTCAGCCACAGGTCTAATTTGGCTGCTGAGCTGATCCACCTGGCCCATGGGCTTTAAGCTCTTCTCCCAAAGCTCCTTCCTGCTGCCTTGTCTTCTCCATACTTCATCGAAGAGCTAAAGCAACTGAGATTCACCATGGTTGCATCTGCTGCGGTTCCATGACTTCCCCAGAGCAGGAAGATAGTGACTGACCTCAGCTGGGTACCCCAATTACAGGTCTGCCAACATGGCTTCAGAAACAGCACCAGTCCAGAATGAGATCCTGTTGCTGGTGGGCAGGGCATGAATTCTGGCTCTGCCTGTAGCGATGTCATCCAATCCATGGAAAGGGGACAGATGAAACCCCCTAGCTTGATGTCTCAGTCTGGGATGGAGAGGAATCTGGCTTCAACATGTAATTTATAAAACACTGATAATTGCCACTCAGCCATGAAACTCAGAGATATGATATGAAACTCAGAGATAAGATATGAATCTTGGCCAATGGTTGACTCTATACCTAACCTAGCTTAAGGGGTGTTGTGAAGGGATGATGAATGTGAAGGGTAGAGAACTGTCCTGAGATGGCAACCTGCATTCCCAAGGGCCGCTGAGACCCTGTATCTGGGCTTCCAGAAAAAGACATGGCCAGCTTGGATTCACTCCCCAGCAGAAAAGCAACCCAACATGTATCTTCTGCCTGCCAGAAATTTGACAGTCACCCCTAGTTGCCATGAAAGGCAGAAATAACACTCTAAGAACTCAGCCACAGAAACGAAGCCATTGCCCCCTGTTCCAGCAGGATTAACCTGACCTCCTCATCTAATTTTGTTCTTATGAAACGAATCTTCCCCTTCTCCTCCCGCCCCCCCCCATTCCTTCTTTTTCTAATTGATAGAACTTCAATGCAAAGCACCTTCCTTCTTTTGACTACAAGGGACGCAATTTGTCAGAAAAAAAATTGGGAAACAATTTTAAGGGAAGAAATCACATGGTTAGAAACAGGATCAACAGACTAAATACATTTATTGGAGACAACTTACTGAAGCACATGCCAGGATGCCGAAAAACCCGACTTTCTGCACCAGGTTCTGGATTGCCAGTTTAGCACGAGAGGCAAAGTCCTACAAAGGAAGAGAACAAGTTAAGAACCTCAAATGGTGGGAAAATAAAGCAAAAAAAAAACCCTGAGCATGGAGTTGCCAATTCCACAGGATGATGGTTTCTCACACCTCACCTCCCCACCCTATATTGAGCAATTACACAGCTTTTATTAAGGCAGACAAAAACATAAAACTGGCACGGGGGCGAACCAGGCTGAATCAAAGGGCAGTTCTCAACACTTCAGAGGCCCGTCCTGAACTCTTCCTGCTAGTATGATCCACTACAGACCCCATGACACAGGTTATGCCTATCACTAAAGAACAAAAAACTTCCCATCTGGCATCCCCACCCCCCCCAGGATGGCACAATTGCATCGAGTCTCGCAGAAGTCAACAAAAAGCTAATTCATTGCAATTAGCCACTGGCAAGTACAGTATGTGAACGTGCTATGTTGGAAGGAAAGGATCATAAGCTAAAATGTCCAGAAAGATCCCTACACTTTTTGAGGGGACTGTTGCTGCCTAATATCACAAAGGGTCCCAGACTAAAGGAAGAGGTTCAAGAGTTATGTGAAAGCACACACACTTGGCATGTTGAACGCAAAGAGTTGGCATCTCTGGTTAAAAGGATTTCAGGTACCCTGGACAGGAAAGACTGCTTTGCCTAAAATGCTCAGGGAGTTATTGCCAGCCTAGGAGGAGATGTTTTTCTAAGCTTTCTACTAAGAGGAAAGTCCTTCTACATCCAACTTTGCAGTGAAGCTTCTGGGCACAAATTAATTTTATGCCAAACAATGGCCATTCGTTGACACTTTTGAACTTTGGTGTTGGAGAAGACTTCTGAGTATATCATAGCCAAGAAAACAAATCAATGGATCATCGAACAAATCAACCCAGAGTTCTCACTCAAGGCACAAATGACCAGGTTCAAATTATCCTACTTCAGATACAATATGTGAAGAACTAGCTCTTTGGAAAAGGCAATTAATTTTATGCCAAACAATGGCCATTCGTTGACACTTTTGAACTTTGGTGTTGGAGAAGACTTCTGAGTATATCATAGCCAAGAAAACAAATCAATGGATCATCGAACAAATCAACCCAGAGTTCTCACTCAAGGCACAAATGACCAGGTTCAAATTATCCTACTTCAGATACAATATGTGAAGAACTAGCTCTTTGGAAAAGGCTCTAATGCTGGGAAAGGTGGAAGGAAAGAGAAGAGGATGAGCCAGGTGGAGGGACTCAGTTACAGTGGCAATGGGGGCACCATTGGAAGACCTTAAAATCTACATGGTCACTAAGAGCTGACAATGATTTGATGGCACATAATCAATCAAATGGCCATTCCTATCAGTCCTGCCACTGCCTATGTGAACTGGGAACCCAGGAAGGATGCTGAAACTGGGCCTTCAGGGAAGACTGCTCACTGCTACTGTTCCACTGCTCCCCAACCCATGTTGCAAATACAAAACAATAAATTCCACAATGCTGAATTAGAAGTGCTCAATGTCCCTGATGAAAAAGTAGAAAGGCAATTTAAAACATTAATTATTAACAACAAAGTCTCTACAAAACTCGAAGGGAAGGAGGCCCACAAGAGAGGGCCTTCTGGAGCTTGGGGGCCATGACAAGGAGGGCCATGCAACTTCAGAGAGTAGCAAGAAACTCAACAAGGCTTCTGTTTTCATGCAGAATTAGGTCCACTGTTCTTGTTTGGGGAACAAATCAAAAGGAGACTCAATGAGAAAGAAGAATGGCAACATTTGGCGGTCAAGTTGAATGACAGGTGTCATGTTCATCAAATGCACCGTGCCTCATCTCAGGCAATTCATTTGGGGTTTTAGTTAATCACAGCTTGTATCACTGCTTGGTATGACAAACTGTGGTTATCTTTTCCTAAATTCAGCTTGAAATATGCCACCTTCATACCATGGGTTATGGGGCAAAGATAACTTCACTGTTACGGTCCATGGCCTACAGCATTCATCACAAGGAGCAGCAAGATTTGAACTAATTTCAGGAATAAAATGAACGTTCATTAAGGTAAAATTCTCATATTTATAGAGCCACAAGGAAAAGTGCAGCCAATACATTACAGACCATGATTACAGAGTGGTGGCAATATACCACCAGCCCCTTGCCTTTCCAATTGATCCAGTTGAAAGAAACATTACATGTGTCTTGTGAAGGCCATAAAACATGGATAAACATCTCTTTCTCTTCTGTATCATGAGGGCACCACTGAACATGGTCCAGGAGTATTACCATATCTCCCACCAGAAATGTTGATGGTAGGACACCAAAACATGATAAACCACGGTTCAGCTCTTTAATGCTCAAGTGACGATGTTAGATGGGCACTGAGTGAGAACCAGGAAGCCATCACCAGATCCTCCAGAAGTGGAATGAGCCAGGGCAATGCAATTATCTTTCTGTACCCATGTAAAACAAGATTTAGTCCTTTCAAATCCTAGTGGCAAAAAGAATGAAGGAGAAAACCTATATTTAAGCCAATTATTCCCAACTAGAAGTTTCCAGACAGACTAGAAGGTCTCCAAAAAGATTTTAAAAAGCCTAGAGGAAACCTCGAGGAAAAAATTAACTGAAGCCAATAATTGACTTGCAAGATTTGTGCTCTGCTCTGAATTGATATCATCCTTGTCATAGGATAATTGCCAGGAATGATGGGAGATGTAATACAAAACTAATGTGCAGGGTACCGCTTTCAGGAAGTTTTTGTAACTCCACATCAAAATCAGACCACTAGATACACTTAAATATAACATGTCCTAAACTGCTCCATGAAATTAATTTATTAAATAATAGATTTATAACTCACTGAAGTAGGAAAAAAGGGCTCAAGATCTTCTGGCAACTTGTATAATGCACATTAGTACTTCAAAGAACATATAACAGACCACTATGAGGAAAAAATGTAGCTTACATAACATGAAATAAATCTGTAACACATATATTATTAATCAACATAGTATGAAAAGGAATTCTTACTAATCCCAAATGGACTATTTTTTTAAATATTGCTTCTAGAAGATGTTCAAATTCAATTTTTTACTGTATTTTTATCCTGTTGTACAACATAATGAGTCTTACAGAACGGCTTAGAAGAGCATAAAACCAAGATTATTTAAAACAGTCACAAAGTCCAACAAAGTCATGGCACAAGATGAAGAACAGTCTAAAAGATGAAGCCCAAGATGCATTCTTCCAACATCTGTGTCATCCATGTGCCTTCTTGGTGGCCACCCCAGACTTTTGGAACAGCCTCCCACCTGAGATCCGAGAGATCCCTACCCTTTTAGCCTTCCGGAAGGCTGTGAAGACCTGGCTCTTCCCCCAAGTATTGGGCTAGGATGGCGGTTGAGCTGGGAGGCTGTTTGGTCTGGTGCCAGGGGGGAAAGGTACTTGTGCTTTTATCTTCGCTTTTATGGATTACTGTGAGCCGCCTTGAATCACTGTATGAGATAGGTGGCCATATAAATCCTATCAATCAATCAATCAATCAATCCAGTGGCCAACCCAATACATCATCTTTTACTGTTGCTCCCTAGCAGCTAATATTTAGGACATTCTACCTTGAAGTTTGGGAATAGTACTTGTCTTCAAAATTAACAGCCAATAACAATCCTACCATCTGTGATATTTTTTTTAGATCTGCCCCCATTTTTAATATGGCTACGCTAGCTGCCTTAAGAAAGTTTAAGGTCCTTGGAGGACTGAGTAGCAGTTGCTTGGAGCAGGAGAATGGTGTAACAACTCATATTCTATCTGTAGGCTTCTAATAAAGGTCCTTGGCTAGCATGGGCAGCAAGATGTTGGACAAAATGGACCACTGGATTCACCCAGTAGCGTTCCTCATGTGTTCCTCACAATGTACTTGAGCATCGTGACCCATCAGTTCAGGACTAGAAAGTCAATACTTGGTAGCCACAGGGACTTGAAGCCACTACTGTGGGGACCTTCTTAAATAGGCTCAGAGGCAGCATCTTACTGGACCATTTGTGGCAAAATCTTTTGACAAGGTTCATGATGTTTTTTGCCATAATTAAACTGTTATTCTTCAAAGTGCCACAGAATTCTACTTGGTTTCCACAAGCTTTGGGAAGTAACCAACCAAAAGCTTCAGGGACCTAAATAAAGAGTCACTTTTTATGAGACGGGTGACTATATGATTGATTAAATAAATAATAAATAAATAAAATTCTTGTCAACCAATCACTTTGATTTAAAAAAAAAAAAATCAAATGTTCTATCACTAAAATTTCCAAATGAGTTTACATTAAAGTGTAAGTCTATTCTGTAAGATTTACAGGATGAAGTTATCACAAATCTTTCTCACGTACTGACTGAGAGATACATATTTCCGTATATATCCATCTAGGATTTCAAAAGTGAACACTTAAATAAGTGTGAGAGTAGAAACCATTTTTGGAATGAGAAATAAGAATCTTCAGAAATAACAGACAATTTGGGGCAAAAGCTTCACATTAGAGTTTAAGTCTATTTATAGGATGAAGTTCTTACAAATTTTTCTCATGTACTGATTGTTTATTTTCATGTACAGGAGTTTTAAATAAGCTTAAGACCAGAAATCAGAAATAAGAATCGACAGAATGAGCCCAAATGTAGCATATAAAAATAGGACCAATGAAAGTTTTGAGGAAAGGTAACTTTGCAATAGTGAAACTTTGCAGTTTAAATCTTGTATAAGTATAAAATTAATAAATGTATACTTCATTTAAATTAAAGCCATATACTCAAGGTTTGTTCTTCCATCAGTCATTTCATAAAAAACATACTATTCTGAGAAGAGGTACTCGTTGCTTTTAGGAAATTCCCGTTTATATCCATTTTATCTTTGTTGGTGTTTTTAAATGTTTAATCATTTTTAAATTTTCTTGAGCAGTTGTTAAATGGAGGGGGAATTAAAAATGCAATAAATAAACGAGAGGATGGCAAAGTTACTTTTTACACAGTAGCCTCCCAACAATAAATATACA